TATTATATACCAGTCAAACGGAGTGTTATAGAATTGAGTGCGGTGCAAAATAAAACTAAATACAATAGATTTATGATATCAAAGAAACAAAGTATGTACTTAAAATAATCAACTATAACGATAAATATATTAATAATAAATTAATATTACGGAATTTCTTGATAAAATATAGCATGTTTACTGCTATAGCGTTAATGGATAATTGATGTAAGCTTATCATGGCTATTCAGGGTAAATATAATTTCATCAGCCTATATATGTAATGCCGGACCACTGACATTCCCCGTGGACAGAAATACATAGATATAACCCACCTTGTGTACCCAATGTGGAGTGGTGGCTAACGCAATGTAGATGAAACCGCTTAATAGCTTAGGCCCTGTCCATAAATACGCCCGAATTAGACGAGTTTTAAACAATAAATAAAAAGTTTGTAACATTAAACTAGAAACTTATTGTAAATTATTTCAAAAATTATTTATCCTCTGCATTTGCGCATCGAGCACACAAAACATCTTAATTCTCATAACATTAAGAGAAATATGTGTTTTATTTTCTTTTTTAATTTTACTTTAACAATGAAGTTAACTAAAATCTTGTATTTATTTTTACCAACACATTAACACTACATAATAATGTTTATTTTCTATAATACCATTAATACATAACACGCAGCACTGTGAGAGGCTTAGGGTGAGCTCATAGAAGCTTAACGTCAATTACTCGATGCTGTTACTTATAAGGGCCTCGAGATATAAGGCGCGAGTTATTTATTACCATTGTAGGCGGCATAATAAGAAAGTCTGACTCCATTGGATAATTTTATAATGCAAGTTTTATACAGATATATATATATTTTTAATTTCTTTTTCATCTTAAAAACCTCGAGTGTTTTGAATTCACAAATTCTAACTCATTTTCGGCGGTTTCCATAGTAACAACAAAATTAATACTTTTCTCTTTAATCAGGTTCGTCGGGGTGGCAAAAAACATGACTAAAAACCTCATCTCAGGGTGCCACGGACCAAGTGGGTTTAATTAACTTTGGATTGAAGCATTTTTCATTAAAAATATTTTCCAGTATAGTATTGTGAACGCGAAATTGATCAAATATAAAAACACAACTGATTCTGATATCAATACTAGATTGGTTAATAAAAGCAAGATGACATTATAAATGAGTCTCACTAAAAACATAAGGAAGTGTAAATAAAATTAGTTCTTGGAATCAAACTAGATGTCACTAGCAATTGTCGGATTATTGTCTATGACCGCGTTTCCCAGCCTGTGATCGGCGGACCCCTGGGGGTCCACGAGTATATGTATGTGGATCCGCGGTGTCATCTCTGGACCATACATAAATCGCTCATTAAATGCAAAAATATGAACTAAGCACACGATATTTAAAAAAATTAAAAAAGTTGCACCCATTGATGTATAACACTATTATTTATCTATAAAAGAAAAAATACATAAATTGTACATAAATTTTACAAAAAAAAATACATAAAATACGTATTTTTACCAACACATTAACATTACATAATAAAAGAAAAAATACATAAATTGGTTTTTCAAATTTTGTTTTGTCTCTCCTGTAAAAAAATAATGTTTGGGATTGTGTCCCTTTTGCATTTAATGAGCAAAATGCTTAATTTTTGGGTGACTGATTATAAGGAGATATCGGACGAAGCACTGAAACATTTACTGCTCTTTTCAACCACATACCTACGTGAAAAGGCATTCTCTATTCTTGTTTATACAAAAAAACAAATACAAAACAGATTACAAGTAGATTAATAATAATAGTAAAATAATAATAATAAACAGTTATAATTACCTTCTGTATTTGTTTTTTTTTTTTTGTATCTGTAATAACTTAAATAAATACCTAATCCGTATTTTTTTGCTGTTTATTTTTTTGAGGGGGTCCGTGAAAACTGTGCTTGATTTCCTAAGGGTCCGTGGACTGAAAAAGGCTGGGAAGCGCTGGTCTATGATATTTTTCTATTACTGATTAATATGCCGGTTGCCAAGTCCTACATACTCATTGATAAATCAATATACAATATTCATAACAAAAGAGAATAGACGAAATTTAGTACATCAGCGCAGACTCATCCCCACTGGCAGCACCTGTTGACGAGCTTTACACATGAGCCAGCCATCGCTTCGTTCAACCATATTACAGGAAACGTAATGACCAGACCATCCCACAACCAACACCACCACCGCCGCAAAGATTTTTAAGAGAGCATGACTACTCTAGGTACTTAATAAGTAATATATATCAATAAAACTGATTTCTAGAGCAGTTTGAGTAGGAAGTCAATCTATTATTGACAATATTATTATAAGAATCAAAGAAGCACATACCCACCGTACGAATTAACATAACACCTGGCTCGACGTCCGCCATCGACATGCAAGTTCAGTGGCCATAGTATAATAACTAGACGTGCCTTTGTGATTTTAAAATAATAACCTTGCTGTTCGTTTCTTGTTGTAAATTTTTTTAAGGTAATTTGATTATGACTGAAAGATTTAATGACTGATCTTAGTTTAAAAACAATCTTAATTTCGAAAGGACAATTTATTTGCGCGATGTACTTTACACAAATGTCATTCTAGCCAAAAGTTATGTTATTTTGTACGAGTAGGTACCTAGTATATTAGATACATATCGGGTAAGTATATACATAAAAAACGGATATTTATTAAATCATCGTTTTATGACCTTTGCCACTGATTATTATTAAACCCTAATCATTCATTAAGAGCAACAAAACTAAGAGCAACAAAAGTAACTGACCTTGTTACTAGTTGTTATTGTTTTCATAACTTTCGTTAAATATAATAATGAAAAATGCCTGCTATGGCATAAGTATTTTATTTATAAAAACTATTTCACGGTAATATTATTATACCGGAGCAAAATGCTACTTTTGATAATTTCACAGCATTAATTCTAGTGATTTCCATAACTCTTAAAAACCTTCTCTATGCTCACTTCCATCATGCTGTTTCCTTTTTCATTTATACAAATAACGAAGAAATTTATTCAAAGATTCGTTCGTATTAATCGAGTTGCTTTTGAGTAACTCAAACTAATTGAAATATGAATTCAGATCCATAGCAACACTGGCAATTCTATTCTCTTTGGTCTAACATCATGAATGAGGAAGTATTAAAAAAAACCTTAGTTCCCAAAATCAAACTAGATGTCGCGACGGTACCTTCTTGATTTCTCCATGACAATCCTTTTTTCATGTATAAAAGTAAATAAATTTTTAAAATTCAATAAACAACTCATATTGTATTTGTGGATTTTTCGTATTTGTATTAATATCTCTGGACCTGAAAAGCATTAGGTCGGATGTGCAGAACCAGCTAAAATCACTTATCGCCATAACGTTGCTACACGCTTTTTTCTCTTTCCGGCAAATTAACTCTTGTATGTTTGTGCCTTTTTACTCATGAGCAACAGTCATGCATAAAGTCGGATCAGACGACTTTTTCAAATATTTTGATTGCATTTAGCTATTTCTGTTTTTATACAGTTTTTATACATCCGACCTAATGCTTTTCAGGTCCAGATCTAAGTTTCGAACTTTGCAAATTTCAAATTTTTTATGTTAGTTAAAAAGAAAGGAATTGAATATCTTTGGTCCATTTGTTTCCAACTTTTCCTAGAGTCGCCATCGCAATTGGTCGCCATTGTGATGCCATCTAATGACATAAAATGTTGTACTTTCTTTATTTTTTTTAATACTTCCTCATTCTAGCTTTATTAGGGATGCAAAGATACCACCTAGGTATCGATACTTTTACTCGATACCGTGTCCGTCATGAGGTATCCTACTGGTTAACGAATGAAGAGTATCAAATTACTTGTATCGAACATATTTAAAATGCCTCACCATCGTCGTCATTTTTATAGATTTTTAGAGAAGATTTTATTCTGTTGTCCTTTCAGAGGCGTAGCTACCGCCGTATATGCCGTATCAATTATACGGGGCCCCCGGGCCACTGGGGCCTCCAACGTGTGTAAGAAAAAATTAATAAAAACTTCCCAAATTTCTTTTTATTTCAGAAATGACAAAAGTCAAAAAAGCAATTACTGTTTTCCACGTAGAGCGTGCGTTTCAAAGTTGGCAACACCCTACAACCGAATTCGCGGGCTGCGGGATATCTCCGTTCAAGCCAGACTTTAACGGGGGAATCCCATAATAATCGATGTATATATGATTAAAATTCGTACAGTTTTTACAATTCCTTATTTTCTTATGTGAAAAATCTTTACCCTACATAAGGGCCTCCAAACAAATTTTATACTGGGCCCGCTAAGAAACGCTATGCCACTGTGTCCTTTACTTTTATATTTACAAAGTCTTTGTATAGTGTGCCTATCGAGGATGTTTGACTGAAATGTCTTTTTATTGGATTGGAGAAATGTCTTTTTATTCAGTTACTAATATTAGGTTGAGGAAAAGTTCTTTAGTATATAGTATCCATAAACTTGTAATAAAATCTTTCTGGCTATAGCATCTGGATCTGGCTGGTTTTAGTATCATTAAAGTTTAAATTTTAAAGAAGATAACTCTGAACTCAAGTTAGGAAAATGTGTGATTTCCATTTGTTTTTTCGTAGTTAAGTCATTTTTCGTAGTGAATCTATTAAAGAAATTCGATATATTTTAAAATTTTAATACAAAAGAAAGGTAAAGAGGCAACGAAAGTCGCAACAGTATACTAACTTATTTATTTATACAAACTCAGTGCATTGGGTTATAAAAACTAGCTTGCATATGAATTTGAATATTAAGTGTACAAGTGTAAAATTCAATTTGGGGATTTTATGGTGCATTTGATGATCTGATGCGCACAATATGCCGCTATGTGAACTGATCGACAAAAAGCGTTATTTAATAAAAAAAATATTTTTTGACCAGAAAATAAAAATGCCATATTAGTCAGTACATAGAATTTTATTGTTTTTTTACAATTGGGTAACAATTTCCGGGAAACATTGCTTGATGATTGGCATATAGATCAGATCGTTAATATAGTAGACGTAAATATAGTTATTCAAAGTTTTTAGGTTGATTTTAATTAAAATAAACATTACAACTTTGTGTTCCTATTAATCATACTAGGTCATCTTATTCTATAAATCTACTTCATCTGTTCTTAATATTAAAACGAGTTAAGGGTCAAATGCTTACAAAAAATCGTCTACAGATGTCTGTATTTTAAAGTTTTTTTAAATTAAACAGTTATTGCTGAATGTTCAGAATGATTTGAACGAGGGCGCTGTTAGAAGATGGAGCTTCTGGGGTCGGCGTAGGTTGAATAACAACGGGGCTGGGGTTGATTGGGTTGTGCTCAATGACAGCTGGTCCTACTTGAATAGGCTCAAATTGTCCATCGATGATTACAGGGCTTGGTACGATAGGGCTTGGTACGATAGGGCTTGGTACAATGGGGACTGGCATAATGGGGCTTGGAGCGATTGGTGATTGGTCAATTATAGCTGGCCCACCAATGATGATGGGGTTGGGGTTGGGGACGACCTGGGTGGGATCAAACATGCGATTGGGTGCCGCGACAGCGACGGCCACGAGGGCAGCAGATATCAGCAGGAATTTCATTTTAACTGCGAACAAAATAACATTTACTATAGCATGATAATGTGAGTTGTAATAGCATCGGAAATATTATATTATACACAGTGATTAATAAATTATGATGTGATATTGCTTAAGCTCCCATATTATAAGCAACTCCTTATGTTATCATTATCATCATCATCAGCCTAATCCTCACTGCTGGGCCACAGACTATCTCTATGGATGGAATTAAATACGAAGAATGAGCCATAACCCACCAAAGAGGCTCAGTGAGATTTGATGTTAACGACTGCACGTGAAGCCGAAACCAGTGTCTTAACGTGCCTTCCGTAGCACGGAGGAACTCGAGACTATAAATTTTTAATCACCCATCCTATGACTGACCCTTGCAAATGCTATTTAACCTACGTATTATGGTACACCAAACGTGCCAAACACTGCACCATCAAGCTCTTCAGTCTTCCTATTCAAGAATGAGAACACATTCCGAAAATAATGGGCAAAGTTACCCATATGGTTTCCTTTCATGCTTGAAACGGTCATAGCATAGTATAACACAGTTAAATGAGAAAAAATCCTTAAAAGGCGGTCGTCCAATCACGCCTCAGCACGCATACACTTATCGGGCCGTATGACACGCAACACTTTGCACGGATTTGTCGATGCCGTATGGCCACTGCAGTCGCATTTTCATAGATGCTTTTCTGAAAATACGACTATCCCTTAGGAATTTTAAATAGAATCTCTTGCGTGTCGTGCGACTAGTGCGTGCATGCTGATATATGGACGTTCACCTTAAAACTACATTTCTTATTAAAAAATGAAATTCAGAACACAGTTTTACACGTACCTTCTTTTGTTTCTGAGATATGAAACTATGATTTTTGAATTGTTTCGTTGAACTTTATATAGCGAAATGTTATCTCATGCAGAATTAATTTTGTTACTGTGGATTATCCGTATTATTGATAGGCGGCATTAACAGAAGTACACTAGGATTAACGATACGTCCATTGGCTGATTACACATAATGAATATAAGGAAACATTATTGTTCATTCTAATTGATTAATAATAATATAAGGTAAGACTAAGTTCTTGTTCCTTCTATTTTTATTCATTATTTTTTTTTAATATAGAGGTATATTTTGAGTCGATATGTTCAATACATGGCGCATTCCGCATCTTTACCCGTTCTGCGATATTTTTCCACGACTTCAGCGGTCGACTGACTAGTAGCTCGGTTCAAACTGTCGCCCACAATAAATGTCACTATCTCTGTAGTAAGGAATCGATTCCTCGTTTATCATCAGCCTTTTATTTCGACCTCACTGCAGGGGCTCAGGCCTTCCTTATGGATGGTCAAGGAGCATGGGCCATGACCATCTACGCTGGCCCAATGTGGATTGGCGGGTATTAACGACTACAAATGCAGTCGGGACCAACGGCTTAGCGTGCCTTCCGAATTACGGAATAGCTCGAGATAATAATTTTTTGGTCACCCATCCCGTGAATGACCCTTGCGAAAGTTGCTTAACGACAACGATCGCGTGCCACGGCGCTTATCCACTATGCCACCGAGCTACTCCGATTCCTCGTTACGACAATGTGAAAATGAACTTTGTGCCTATACTATTTAGTGTCTACTTATGATTTACGAGTGGTATTACGAGCGAACTCAAACTAAAATAATTTATTCAGTCCAGATGTTATTAGTAATTGGGAACGTTGAAATATTATATCATGGCGGTAGATCTTGTACTGAAAACTGAAAGGAGACCTTGTACTACCTTCGTTATTGTAAATTCCTGCCATATAAGTCCTTTAGCGACTTAACTTGCCATCTGAGCTGTGTATATACTGTCTATATTATTTGGAATAAAAACTGTATTCCTAAAGTTTAATGTAATTTTTTCCGGCGATTTTACCCGCGTAAATTACAGCATAAGTCATAGTATAACGTACCTTCCCGTAGATGCAAGAATTTTCATTATCGATTCACCCTAAATTTTTTTAGAATAACATTTTTATAAGTAAGAACTTTTACTTTCATACGTTACGGATATATAACATTTACCCCACTATTGCATTTCTACACTTTTACATTTCTTATGTACCTACACCTACAGCTTACAGCATCAGATCGTTATTTGGAGTAATTTAGACAAATAAAAGATTTAAAGAAAAACGTACATGAAATTTTAAAATAAATGCATTTAATTTGAAACAATGTTTATGTCGTTCTTGTTGAACAAATATCACGAATTACACACTGCCATAAATTGATATTTATGACATATCGTAAATTGTGGAATTAATTGTCAAAGATTAGTTAAAACAATGAGTGTACGACAAAACTGCGCGTAAGTAGGTACCTAATTAGGTTTTATTTGTTATTTATATTTATAAAATAACTTATAGAAACAAAAATTTAAATGCAGTATAATGAGATTAAAATGAATTTTAGTTTATTTAGAAAAAATATGAAGCATCATGCACTTTCCTAATTATCGGTATATTAAATGTCCAATTTTAATAGATTTATTATACTCACTTGATTAGGTAATCTATAATTTTATCTATTACTGTAAAATGCAGTTGCACAGTAATAATCTGATATTGGATTCAATATTCAAAACTTCGATAAGACAACAACTTTGTATTTTTACTTTTGGCTAAGCCCATTTTCTTCACTAATTTATCCCACAAGGGACATAACGTTACCTCCCGTGTTAAACAATTTCATATGATTAACTTTCAACACAACTGGTCTTGTGGTTTCGTAGCAAATTAGCTGTAACATTCGATGAACATACGAAAAGACAAGTGAAAACCCTATCTATGTATCCCTATAAGTATCGCCAACTTGTGTGTTTGTATGTTTATCTAAATATATATAACTCAAAGATGACTGACTGACATAGTGATCTATCAACGCACAGCCCAAACCACTGGACGGATCGGGCTGAAATTTGGCATGTAGGTAGATGTTATGACGTAGGTATTTGCTAAGAAAGGATTTTGATCCATTCTACCCCCAAGGGGATAAAATAGGGGATGAAAGTTTGTATGAAACTATGTCAATTATAAACCGATCGGGCTGAGACTTTGCCTGCAAAAAGATACTATGACATAGGCATCCCCTAAGAAATAAATTCCAATTCCAATATTTTAATAAATTCCACCCCTAAGGGGATGAAACTTTATTTCAGGTTTTTTACACGATATATTGAATGAATATTCGTTAGAAATGCTGCTCAGAGTAACTTTACCACGCGTACGAAGTCACGGGCATAAGCTAGATAATTTATAATTAATTCCTATGGTATATTTACAGCTGTAAGTTTTCCAATGCAAAATAAATAAGGGTTCATATTTTGACTTTTTAAGTAGAAAATTTGAAGAGTTGAAGAAACTGCCTTCTTATTTAAATTTGTGTCGTATCGAGAACAAAATTGTGGAAGGAGTAACGATGAAGACTGGTTAAGGGTCAGTTTTGTGAAAATACTAAATAATAGGTGCTTCTAAAATTGGTTCCAGGGTTTACCTCTGCTGAATATCTCAACTACCAAGCATGGGACCTTCAAAATGGGCCCTGGGACACTATCACAATCCAAGTATATTGGCTTTGGTTTGGTTAACATTGGATTCAATTACAAAGCACTCAACGTTTAATACTGTATTATTAGATACGTTCCATACAGTGAGTTGAATCAAATGTACAGTCGGCCAAGAAAGTGGTCTACCAGTTTTGACAGCACTTCCCGTATCTTTAAAGCATCGCTAAAGGCGAATCTTACAATTGCATACAAACAATAAAAAATAAGCACAATGCTGACGTGTTGTCGTAGAGCACAAATGTTATTTTGACCTTTGCAGCCTACGCATTAGATAATAATTTGCAACAACAAATAGTCTTCACAATCTTTCATAAATTTAAAATTTAAGTAGGTTACTTCAAAGTGGAAACTATTTTGTTACTCACGAAAACTCTTTTACGGAAAAAGAAAATATCACTTGACAATTTATGTCAAATATTTTCTTGGCATTTTCCGTAGGTATTTTCCTAATTCATTTATACTACAATGCCCCGAAATTTATCCATAAACGAGAGAGCTCAAATAATCTCATTAGGCAATGATGGTTTGAATATTAGTGAGATTTCTAGAGAATTAAATGTGTCGGTAAGTATTATTATGTCTGACGTGAGTTTAATGTAAAATCTCAGACTAAGTCTGAGTGTAAAAAATCATTTTTTTTCTGTTCATAATTTATTTTTTATTATAGAAACAAGTTGTCCGTCTTTGGATAAGACGAGAAAGCGAGGAGGGGAAATTTGAACACTCGGAGTCGTAGCGGTCGTTGACCTGAAATATCAGATACTCAGCGAGTCTTCATGAGACAGAGTTATGAGGAATCTGGCATTAAACCAACGCGTTATTTTGCCGATATGTTTGACGTGACTCTCCAAACCATCAGAAACCATTTATATACATGGGCTTACGACACAGGCATTATGCAAAGAAAATTTATATGCCTGACGCACATAGAATGGCCGGATTAAATTTCGCCATAGAATATTTGGATTTTGATTGAAGTAATACTGTGTTCTGTGACGAGACAACTTTTAAATCCAGTCAACACGGGCGTCTATACCTTTGGCGATCCAATAAGACGCAATACACTCAAAATCATGTCGTGCCAAATAGAGAATCGGTTCGTATCTCTGTAAATTTGTATGGATGAATGACTACTGATGATGTTGGAGACATGACCTTTTTGCCACCACGAGCAACGGCATCAGAATATGTTGATGTTCTCCAAAATGCTATGCTGTCATCCGTCCGGAACGTTTATCCAGAAAATGAAATGCGACAATTAAGTTATTTACAGAATAACTGTCCCTTATATAAAGCGAGGGTAACATGTGCTTGGTTTGATGCACATCCGAAAGTAATCTTAATACCATGGCCAGCAAAATCGCCAGATCTCAACCCTATTGAAAATATGTGGGGTCTCATGGTTCAGAGATGGTGTAACCGCAATTGTAACCGGTGTAACTGCAAAACCGCAAACAACAGAAGCACTACAAGGGCACTGCAATGAGGTTTGGGAGGAAAC